ATGGCTGCTCCATCGATCTCTAGTCCAGAATGGAGATCCCTTGGTGAATCTATTTCTTCTCAGAGCCAGAGTTACAGACTCTCTGGAGCTATCTCAAGGAAACCCTGCAAAAGGGGTTCATCCATCCCTCCAGGTTTAAACTACTGTAAATGGTGGATTCTCTGTAACTTGAAGTCATTTAACCATGATTTGAGGACTTCAGTAACTCAGCCAAAGGTTAGGGGTCTATTACAGGAGTGTGTTGGTGAGGTTCTGGGGCCTGCAATGTACAGGAGGTCAGACTACATTATCATCATGGTCCCTTCTGACCTTAAAGTCTACGAGAATTTAACCTCTGAGGACAGGACAAGAAGCAATGGACTTAAATTGTAGCAAGGGAGGTTTAGGTTGGACATTAGTAAAAACTACCTGTCGGGGTGGTTAAGCACTGGAATAAATTGCCTAGGGAGGTTGTGGAATCTCCATCATTGTAGATGTTTAAGAGCAGGTTAGACAAACACCTGTCAGGGATGGTCTAGATAATACTTAGTCCTGCCTTGAGTGCCGGGGACTGGACTAAAAGACCTCTTGAGGTCCTTTCCAGTCCTATGATTCTATGGCAAACCCCCTTCTTAGTGCTCCAAAGTGATTACAACACATCTTGATGCACCTCCAGTGCTACCAGGCAGAGATCAGATCCTGTCCAGGTCATTTACTGGTGTCAGCTGACCCCTGATACCCAGTATCAGTGAGGTGGGGAAAGGGGATCAGGACTTAGTGCAGCATGTTCATGGATTCAGTCTTCCAGTTTCAACAGTGAAGCTGCTGGAAATCTAAGAGGCTACCAAAAAGGCCATCCAGCTACAGGCAGTCGAGAGAGCAGTACTAGCAAAGTGGCCAGAAGACAAAGGCCAAGTATCGGTAGGAGCAGAAACCATATTTTCAAATGAAAGACAAGCTGGGTGTGCAGGATGAAATCATATTTTGAGGACAGAGAGCTGTTGTTCCTGTCTCATTACACAGGATGTCATGCAAAAAATACATGCCTTGGACATGGGCATTGATAGTTCGAGAAAGTGTTTACTGGCTGGGAATGAATATACAACTCATATCCTTGATAGAAGAGTGTGACACCTGCCAGTCATGTTATAACCACCAGCAGAAAGAGACTATTACCATATGAGCTGCCCATCTGACCATGGGATAAGGTGAGTGGGGACTTACCTTCAATGACAAACAATACTTGATTATAGTGGACAACTGTTCAAATTTTTGCCCTTCCTGAATCAAGAAGCAAGCCAGTGACTGGAAAACTGAACAAACTCCCAATTGGAGGAGATATCCTGTCTCTCCAATTGGCCCAGACTCACTATTTAAGCTAGGAGGCGCAGGAAGTTGTCCAAACACCTAGATGTATTCCTGGCTGGCTGCTACACCTGACACTGCCTTCTCACCTGAATCTTCAGCCCTGTCTTGTTCCTGATTCCTACTTTCCTATCCCGTTCCTGGTTCCTGCCCTCCTGCTTTGTTTCAGATCCCTGCTTCTATTCCCCACCTTTGGCTACTGACTCTGGCGATGACCTTGGGCTTGACTCCCAACTCTGTTTCCATTGGTGATCTCTGGTTCCTGACTCCTGCCAACGTGGAATGAAACCAAGACCTTTAGAAATGTTGATGAAAAATCAACCTATGAGCCCAGAGTAGACAATAGTCTGGTAGTCAGGGCACTCATGTAATATGTGAGAGACCCAGGTTCAAGCCCTGCTCCAAATCAGGCAGAGCAGGGGTTTGAACATAGGTTCCCCATCTCCCACATGAGTGTTACCTGCCTATTCTGTGCTTTGTTGTACAATCATGTAGCAACATGCCCATGGGGGAAGTTGACCCTGTCCATTAGTGGTTGGTTTTTTGCTCTGAAACTGGTTAATATACTTTTATCCTATATAATGTACATGCAGATGTCTTTATTATCTAGACCAGTGGTCTCCAAACTTTTTTGATCATGCACCCTTATCAGTAAAAAAATTTTGAGCACACATCCCCTGGCTCTACCATTTTTGCCAAAGACAAAAAAAAAAAAAAGACCACTCGGACTCCCGCCCGAACTGATGAAGCAAAAAAAAAAAAATGCTCCTCCTGCCACGCACCCCCAAGGATCCTCTTGCACACCCCACTTTGGAGACCACTGATCTAGACCAGCAGTTCTCAAACTTTAGCAACCCGAGAACCCCCATTTTGATTTAAAAATTTTCAGGGGCCCTAAAGGACCCCCACTCAGCCCCTGCCTCGCCCTCTGCCCCAAGGCCATGCCCCCACTCACTCCATCCCCCCTCCCTGCCTCGCTCGCTCTCCCCCATCCTCACTCACTTTCACCAGGCTGGGCCAGAGGGTTGGGGTGCAGGAGCAGGCTCTGGGAGGGAGTTTGGGTGCAGGAGGGGGTGCAGGGTCTGGGCTCGGAGTTTCAGTGTGGGAGCGGGGAGGGCTCTGGGCTGGGAGTTTCAGTGCAGGAGGGGTGAGGGCTCTGGGCTGGGAGTTTGGGTGTGGGAGGGGGCTCAGGACTGGGGCAGGGGTGGGGTATGAGGGAAGGAGTTTGGGTGCAGGCTCTGGGCTGGGGATTGGGGTGCAGGAGGAGGTGTGGGGGCAGCGCTTACCTTGGGCTGCTCCCGAAAGTGACCAGCACATCCCTCTGGCAGTGGCTCCTAAGCAAGGGGGGCAGAGGATCTCTGCATTCTGCCCCTGCCCACAGGCACTGCCCCCGCAGCTCCCATTGGCTGCAGTTCCTGGCCAATGGAAGTTGCGGAGTCGGCGCTCAGGCCAGGGGAAAGCATTGGAAAGTATACTCCCAACTATACATATAAAATTATGGGGTCTAAATTAGCTGTTACCACTCAAGAGATCTTGGAGTCATTGTGGATAGTTCTCTGAAAACATTCACTCAACGTGCAGTGGCAGTCAAAAAAGCAAACAATGCTGGGAATAATTAAGAAAGGGATAGATAATAGGACAGAAAATATCATGTTGCCTCTATATAAATCCATGGTACGCCCACATCTTGAATACTGTGTGCAGATGTGGTCGCCCCATCTCAAAAAAGGTATATTGGAATTGGAAAAAGTTCAGAAAAGGGCAACAAACATTATTAGGGGTATGGAACGGCTTCCATATGAGGAGAGATTAATAAGACTGGGACTTTTCAGCTTGGAAAAGAGACGGCTAAGGGGAAATATGATTGAGGGCTATAAAATCATGACTGGTGTAGAGAAAGTAAATAAGGAAGTGTTGTTTACTCCTCATAACACAAGAACTAGGGGGTCACCAAATGAAATTAATGGGCAGCATGTTTAAAACAAATAAAAGGAAGTATTTCTTCACACAACACACAGTCAACCTGTGGAACTCCTTGCCAGAGGATGTTGTGAAGGCCAAGACCATAACAGGGTTCAAAAAGGAACTAGATAAATTCATGGAGGATAGGTCTATCAATGGCTATTAGCCAGGATGGGTAAGAATGGTGTCCTTAGCCTCTGTTTGCCAGAAGCTTGGAATGGGCGACAGGGGATGGATCACTTGATAATTACCTGTTCCGTTCATTCCCTCTGGGGCACCTGGCATTGGCCACTGTCGGAAGACAGGATACTGGGCTAGATGGACCTTTGGTCTGACCCAGTAGGGCCATTCTTATGTCCTTATATCTTATGGCAATGAGTTTCACAGGCTAGTTGTGCATTGTGAAAAAAGTATTTCCTTTTATCAGTCTTAAATCTTGTGCTTTTCAATTTCATTGGGTATCCCCTTTCTCTGTGTTACAAGACGGTGGTATATAGCAATACCCAATTCACCTTCTCCAAGTTGTTCATTATTTTATAAATCTCTAACATGCCCTCTTATTTGTCTGCTTCCTAATCATTGAATATCAGGGTTGGAAGGGACCTCAGGAGGTCATCTAGTCCAACTCCCTGCTCTAAGCAGGACCCATCCCCAATTAAATCATCCAAAAAAAATTTTTTTTTGCCCCAGATCCCTAAATGGTCCCCTCAAGGATTGAGCTCACAACCCTGGGTTTAGCAGGCCAATGCTCAAACCACTGAGCTGTCCCTCCCCCCCCCTCAATCTAAATATTCCCAATCTTTTCAATCTCTCTCTCTTTCCCAAGCCTTCATTCTTTGCTCACATAGTGTCTGAGATGGGGTGACCAGAACTCCACATACAAGCACAGGGATGGGTGTGCCATTCATTTATAGAATGGCATTATATTTCCCATATTATTTTTATCCAATTCCTTATGCACCCTAATGTTTTATTTCTTTTTTGGCTGCCAAGGCATGTTGAGCTGAGCTCTTCATGGAATGGTGCCCAGGTCTTTTCCCTGGTGGGTTACAGTTAATTTAGAACCCTACAACGTGTAGGAGCAATTCAAATGGTTCTTTCTATTGTCATTACTGTATATGTCATCTGCCATGCTACCCATTCCCCTACCTTGGTTAGGTCCCTCTGAATTTTCTCACAGTTTTTCTAGCCAAACTATGCTGCAGTCCTAAGTATACTGTGGGGATGAGCATGGTAATGCTGCCACCCTGCTGCTCACTCTCCCTGATACCAAGTCCAGGTTCCTTATTAGGAATTGAAATACGGTGAAGGTTTGGCAACAACCTGCAGCCCTGTATGAGGCCCTCAACATCCTGCCTCCATGTGTATAGAGAGAGGTGCTAGGACCTGTCCCCTGGCACTCCACTATTTAGTGCTCCAAGGGTACCTCTATCCTAGAAACATTAGCATGGCACAGTTGTGTAGATGCTTACTACAGCGATGGAAGGAGTTCTTCCATCATTGTAATAAATCCACCTCTCCAAGAGGTGATAGCTAGATCTATGGAAGAATTCTTCTGTCAGCCTAGCACTGTCTACACTAGGAGTTACATGGCTTAATTACATGAGTGATGTAGCTAGGTCAACATAACTTTCCAGTGTACATCAGCCCTGAGTCCCTACACTTTATGGCGATCAGGTCTCTGAGGTGTTGCTTCCTCCCCTTTTCGGCTGGGAAGCTGCCTGCCACAACCGTGTCCATCTAGGAATGCTCCTTCAGTTGGGACTTCTTGTTTGTTTTCTGGCTAGGTGATAGCAGTCGTCATGGATCTCTTCACAGACATGGAGATACTCTGTGACCTGATGGAAGCTTCAAGCAGACGACGTGTCTCTGTTTACCTGATCCTTGATGAGAAGTACTTAAAGTATTTTATAGAGATGTGCAGTAAAATGGTTATTAACAAGGACCATTTCCCAGTAAGTTTGCAGCATTTCTTTTGGTGGTGTACAAAGTTAATGCAATTGATATGTATGACAGAATATACCCGTGTTCACACACTCTATTGTAATGTTTGTACAAAGTATGCCTTGTGAGGTATCACTTAAAAACTCATAATTTGCTGATCAATAATATCATGGCAAAATGCACATAGCAGCATTATATGTGAAGTTATAAACATAAAGTGACTAAAAATATGTTTTCCAGATAAGTCTGGGGAGTGGCTAAACCAGTTCCTCAGAGACCTAGGGCAAGCTGACGCCTCAGGCAGGCTTAAACAAGGCTGATGGACCATTACCTGCTAAGGACTTGTCTTCACATACAATGCCGCAGCAGCACCACTTTAGTGAAAATGTTACTACGCTGACTGGAGAGCTTCTCCCGTCAGCATAGTTAATCCACTTCCACAAGAGGCAGTAGCTATGTCAACGGGAGAGGCTTTCCCCCACAGTGCAGTCTATGTGAGAGGTGAGGTTGGTATAACTACATTGCTCGGGGGTGGATTTTTCACATAGGGTGACCAGACAGCAAGCGTGAAAAATCAGGACAGGGGGTGGGGGGGTAATAGGAGCCTATGTAAGAAAAAACTCCAACAATCGGGACTGTCCCTATAAAATCGGGACATCTGGTCACCCTATTTTCACAGCACTGAGCGACATAGTTATACTGATATAGGTCTGTGGCATAGACCTGGCCCCAGTGGCCATTCTTTGGCAGGAAAGGGGCAGGTACAAAAATTTACATCTTAGCCAAGAAACAGCATGGAGTTTCCTTCCACGCAGACTGCCTGTTGCCTTGCTTCCAGCTGGAAATGCTTCTCAAAGTGAGGACAGGACTATAAAAAGAAGTGGCAGACACCCCAAGGCACCACACTCTCTCTCCCTGCACATCATGTTAACTGCACCTGAGGAGACAAAGGAAGCAGCCCTTTATCTCTGGGGGACGGGCCTTCACCTAAAGAGTTTGGTCAGTAGGACTGCTTGAAAACATATGGTGAGAAAACTTTGCTTTGAATCTAATATAGTTTTCGTTAAATTAGGCACTAGTAAGCATTTTATCTTTATTTTCTTAGAACAATTTCTGACTTTTATGCCTCATTACTTGTATTCACTTAAAATCGATCTCTTTGTAGTTAATAAACTTGTTTTATTGTTTTATCTAATCCAGTATGTTTCAGCTGAAGTGTCTGGACAACTATTTAAAATAATAAACTGGCATATTAATCCCCTAAAGGAATAACTGACTTAATCATAGAACCACAGGGCTAGAAGGGACTGCAGGGGTCATCTAGTCTAACCCTCTGCCAAGATGCAGGATTTGTTGAATTTAAACCATCCAAGACAGATGGCTCTCCAGTCTCCTTTTGAAAACCTCCTGCGAAGGAGATTCCAGGACCTCCCAAGGCCATCTCTTCCATTGTCCTACTTTTCTTACAGTTAGGAGGTTTTCCCTGAGATTTAATCTAAATCTGCTACCCTGTAGTTTGAACCCATTGCCTCTTGTCCTGCCCTCCGTGGCAAGAGCGAACAACTTTTCTCCATCTTTTTTTGGCAGCTGTTCAAGTATTTGAAGACCACGATCATATCCTCCTTAATCTCCTCTTTTCCAAACTAAACATACCCAGTTCCTTCAGCCTTTGCTCATGTGGCTGCATTCCATCCCTTTGATCATCTTTGTCGCTCGCTTCTGGATTCTTTCCAGTTTCTCTTCATCCTTTTTATACCAAAACTGGACACAATGCTCCAGCTGAGGCCTAATCAGCGCTGAGTAGAATGGTACTATCTCCTCCTGTGACTTGCATGCTATGCCTCTGTTAATGGAAACCAAAATTGAATTTGCTGACTCACGTTGAGGTTGTGAGCCACAACTCCAAGATCCTTCTCAGCAGTACTGCTGCCAAGCCAGTTTCCCCCATTCTGTATTTGTGCATTTGGTTTTTCTTCCCTAAGTGTAGCACCTTACATTTGTCTTTGTTGAATTTCACTTTGTTCTCTATAATCCAGTTCTCCAATTTATCAAGACCCCTCTGAATTTTAGATGTTAAATAACACCGGACCCAGAACAGATCCCTCTGGTACCCCACTTAAGGCCTTTCTCCAATCTGACATCATTCCATTAATAGTTACTCTTTGTTTGTGCTTTTTTAAACCAATTATGTATAGATCATGTATGTATTCATGCATTATGTATGCAGTTCCGCTGAGCCTGCATTTCTCCAGCTTACTTATGAGACTGTCATGTGGGACTGTGTCAAAAGCCTTGCTGAAGTCCACGTATATTATGACCACCACATTCCCCCTGTCCACCAAACTAGTTACCCTGTCAAAGAAGTAACTCAAGCTGGTCTGGCATGGTTTGTTCTTAGTAAAATTGGCTTTGGGGTTTTAGATAGCTGAAAAACTCCTTGTGCAGTCACATTGGCCTCCTGCAGATGTTCTTATCTTTCCTCTGCGTTGGAACAGCATGACGTTCAGCCACCAGTATTACATTTTTAAGAACTGCCAGCCCCCATTTGACTCCTTTTCTTCCTAATTGGTCTTTCCGTGGGGTCTTGCCTACTATTTCTGAGTTAGTTGAAATCTGCCTTTCTGAAGTCCAGTGTCCTTGTTTTGCTGTTCTCATGTTCTCCTTTCCATAGGATCTTGAATTCTATCAGATCATGATAACTTCCTCCCAAGTTCCCGACCACCTTCATGTTCACAACTAATTCATCCTGTTGGTCAAAACCAGATCCAAAATGAATGACCCCCTAGTTGTTTCCCCAACTTTCTGATTCAGAAAGTTGTCCTCTTACATATGCTAAGAATGTGCAGGATATATTATGTTTTGCTGTAATAATCTTCCAACAGATATTAGGGAAGTTAAAATCCTCCATTAATACTAGCTCATAATATATTTGTACCACCCAGGAGAGGACTGGGTCGTACAGGACATACATTTCTGGGGGAAGATCCGGGTGTGTGCTGGGGTCACTCTACACCATAACCAAGGATGGTAAGAGGGTAACAAGCCTTGTGGATGGGGGGGAGTGGTAGATGTGGTATATCTTGACTTTAGTAAGGCTTTTAATACTGTCTCACATGACCATCTCATAAACGAACTAGGGAAATGCAACCTAGATGAAGCTACTATAAGGTGGGTGCATAACTGGTTGGAAAACCATTCCCAGAGAGTAGTTATCAGTGGTTCACAGTCATGCTGGAAGGGCATAAAAAGTGGGTTCTTGCAAGGATCAGTTCTGGGTCCGGTTCTGTTCAATATCTTCATCAGTGTCTTAGATAATGGCATAGAGAGTACACTTATAAAGTTTGCAGATGATACCAAGTTGGGAGGAGTTGCAAGTGCTTTGGAGAATAGGATTAAAATTCAAAATGATCTGGACAAATTGGAGAAATGGTCTGAAGTAAATAGGATGAAATTCAATAAGGACAAATGCAAAGTATTCCACACGGGAAGGAACAATCAATTGAACACATGCAAAATGGGAAATGACTGTCTAGGAAGGAGTACTGCAGAAAGGGATCTGGGGGTCATAGTAGATCACAAGCTAAATATGAGTCAACAGTGTAACACTTTAGCAAACCAAGAGAACATCATTTGGGATATATTAGCAGGAGTGTTATAAGCAAGACATGACAAGTAATTCTTCCTTTCTACTCCGCACTGATAAGGCCTCAACTGGAGTATTGTGTCCAGTTCTGGGTGCCACATTTCAGGAAAGATGTGGACAAATTGGAGAAAGTTCAGAGAAGAGCAACAAAAATTATTAAAGTTCTAGAAAACATGACTTATGAGGGAAGATTGAAAAAATTGGGTTTGTTTAGTCTGGAGAAGAGAAGACTGAGAGGGGACATGATAACAGTTTTCAAGTACATAAAAGTTTGTTTACAAGGAGAAGGGTGAAAAATTGTTGTTCTTAGCCACTGAGGACAGAACAAGAAGCAATGGGCTTAAATTGCAGTAAGGGCAGTTTAGGTTGGATATTTGGAAAAACTTCCTGTCAGGGTGGTTAAGCAGTGGAATAAATTGCCTAGGGAGGTTGTGGAATCTCTGTCATTGAAGGTTTTTAAGAGCAGGTTAGACAAACACCTGTCAGGGATGGTCCAGTTATTACTTAGTCCTGCCCTGAATGCGGGAGACTGGACTACTTGACCTCTCAAGGTCCTTTCCAGTCCTACACTTCTATGATTTTATGAAGGATCACCAAAGTATCCTGTGCAAGGTATAAATGTGGCTAGGCTCAGGTCAGTTTTACTCTGGTGAGGCAACTAATAACGGTAATGATGTTGTCTGACAAGATTACAAGTCAGGCTGATAAAGGTAACTGGGAAATAATATAGTTAGAATTATGTAAGGCATTTTTACTGCATGACTAACAAAACCCTAACTCTATCCAGAATCTGTATTCTATATATTAAATGGATTAAAAAGCTGACTGAGAGATCTCAAAATGTAGCTGTGAATGAGGAATCATCAACTAATGGTGTCTTTCTGGTGGGTCCTGCAGGGGTTGGTTCTTAGGCCAGCGCTATTCGATAATTGTATAAATGATATGGTAGAAATTGTATTGATTTATAAATTCTATAAATGATCTAGAAGAACAAGTTCTTTATGCCAAGATCTTGTATAACCTGTGGTGTAAGTTGCTACCTAACAACAGGTTAATTTTTGGTATTTTTATTTCATTACATGATCCGCAAGCAGCAGGCAGCTTGATAGAACTCTCTGTTACTGTAGGGAACGTAGTAGCCAGAAAATACTTTATGCCTTGCTGCTTCCCTCCTTTCCGGACCGGGGGTCACTGTCGGACAGCCAGCCCATCGCTCAGGTTATCATTCAGATAGCAATCTGTTAAGAAAGAAAAGATTTAGCTTGCTCTATTCAATCTGGTTCAATCCATATTTCGTCCTCTGATTTCAGAACATGCAAGTGCGGTGTGTGAGTGGAGACACATATTACAGTAAAGCAGGCAAGAAATTTGAAGGTCAAGTCCTGGAGAAGTTTGTACTAATAGATTGTGACCACGTTCTTGCTGGTACATACAGGTGAGACATCACAGTTTGCACCTCTAAAACTCAGAGACATTGGGCCAAACATTCATTGTCACAGAGAAACCAACTTCATAATCTCACCCACATCCCTCACACCCTCTTCCTGCCTGATTTCAACACGTGGCTGTCCCTCATCATCACTGTCAATTACTTCAACTTTCATGCTGATCGCTCACCCATCCTCTAGCCTCCTGCCCTTACCTTGCTATTTGACCTTCAGACTGCATTAACTCTCCCACTGCACACACACTCCACCAATGCCACCCCCTGGACTTTGTTGTCTTCACACAGCAGTGATCTTTTCCACTTCTGATCACCACTTTCTTTCCTTGAATACTGTCCACGCCCACGCTACTCTCTACCTCCCAGCTGGCCCTTCCATGACCTTCGATCGAGCAACATCTGGTTGTGTTGCTGCTCATAACTGCACCCTTGCCCATGGCTCCCTGCTTCCTCACCTCTGACTGGAGTTGACACCCTCTGTTCCACACTCTCCTCCACGCCACTCTTTTGCTCTTCCTCCCCTCTGCCCTGGTTTACATCCAGCATTTGCTTCCCCCCACACTTGCTCCTGAGCTGCTGGGCAGCCCCGAAGAGTCTCCACGGGTCACCGGGGCTTCCTTCACTACAAACTCATCTTCTCCTCCTTAAGTTCTGATGACTCCTTCACAAAGCAGCCCTACTTCCGCCTTATTGAGTCCCAGGCCTACACCCCCATTGCCTCATAACCACTATCAACTCCCTCCTGAAGCCCTCTCCACTACCTGCACCCCCGTCCTTCTGCCCAGGATCTTGCTGACTTGGCTGCATACTGGCTGAATTTCAGTCTGCATTCCATCCTGCTCAGACTTTCTGCTGCTTCGGAGGCTATCGCTCCCTCCTCCTTGGAATGCTGTCCAAGTGTCTCCTGCTGCTGTCCCTTTCCCTGCTCTGTCAGGATCCTTCAGACTCTGTCCTTGGGCCTTTCTGCACTTTAGCCTATGTGGCCTCACTCGCTCACGTTAACTTAACTGTCTTCTCCAAGCTGACAGGTCACAGACCTGCTTCCCTGTGTGCAGCCCTGCATCCCAGGCGCTCTCCTGAATGGTTACCAACAGCTCCAGCTTAATATGGCTTAAAGCCAACTCTTCCTCTCCTAACGCCTCTCCTTCCAGACTGGTGTTACTGACGACATCCCAGTCCAGAGTTCATGTCTGACTCCTCCCCCTCACATCTAAGCCATTCCCAAATCTTCAAGTTTCTTTACAACATACCAAAATATGAGACCCTTTTTTTTCTGTGCCAATGGCTAACTGCTTGTCCCCACCCTGGACACGTCCCACCTGGATCTGTGCACCCTCCTCACTCCCCTGCCAGTCTCACCATGTCACCTCAAGCTGTCTACTGGCAACAAGTTTACACTTCTAGTTCCCTCCTCCAAGGCCCTGCCCTGGCCTACATCTTAGATCTCCCCTCTTGCCATGCTCCCCCTCTGCCAACAAACCCAGCCACATCCTCCTCCCATGGTCAGAATGGGAGCTCTCCTAGAAGGCAGGCCATTTCCCTAGCGCCCATAATGACACGATGGACGTAATCAAACTGCTTATTGTTTTGAATTATCCTTTCCTCTGGATTTCCGGCAGGTCCTGTGTTCTCTGTCCATAGTTTAGAATGAACCCTATAAGGGTAAAGAGGAGAATACAACCAAAGCCGAATATCCAGTCAGTTAGGCTTGAAAGACAAAGGCAGGAAGCCTAAATCTCATCTTGCCACAGCAATGCAAACCAGGAGCAACAGCAACTCGACCAGTCACTGGGGTTGCTCCAGAATAAAACTGGTGTGAGCCCAGCATTGCATTAGGGGGCCACATTAGAGCACAATGCGTTAATCTTGCCCAGAAGGTTGTGAGGATTAACAAGTGCTTTTACAGGCATATCCAGTGGAAGGGGCACAGAGTGCGCAGCTGTGGGCTGGGAGGCTGCACATTACAGAGGCTGAGATGACAAGCATCTGCACTATGGGCAGTGAGGGCGAACAGCTGGACCAATCAGAGAGATCCAGTGATAAAAACCACAGGGCAAAGAACACCTGGGAAACGGCAGCGGCTTCTAGCCAGATGGTGCCACTAAGAGGCAACATGGACAAACCAGCCAGTGCACTGCAGCATTGGCAGGTGCCAGGGACAGCTAGGCTCAGTCCTTTCCCCTCCCTTCCTCCCTCTGCATTGCCAGCACTGTCCTGCAGGGAAAGTCCTGTCCAGCTCATGGGCACCTCCTCCTCAACAGGATCCCCGCAGAGCTCAGGGGTGTCTCCCCTGCTTCTCAGAGCAACGGCCAAGAGACTCCTCCTTCCCCCCACAACCCCAGCTCCCTGTCTGTGTTCACCAGTGCTCCCCACCATGCTTCCTGCCCGACTGCCCCATGCACCCACCCATGCCCCCCAACCCTCCCCTGCCCATACTCCCCCTGCCCTTCCCACCTGTGCCCCCAACCCTCTGCTGCCCATGCTCTCCCTGCCCTTCCCACCTGTGGCCACCCCATTCCCCCCCGGCCTCCTGCACTGCTGAAGCGCTGAGCAGGGAGCTGCTGGCAAAGAGCAATGGAGGGTCGGTGCTGATGGCTGGAGGAATGGGGTGTTTGTGCAGCCTCCTGCTCAGTGCTGCATGCTCTGCCCCGCACAGCACCCTCCTCCCAGCACCACGTACCGTGCCACCCGCTAATGCTGTCCCACCACTGGCACTGTAACACTATCCCTCCACCCCCACAGTTAATCCCCGCATCTTCATGCAATTAATGTTACCTCTTATATAATGTAGATGAAATGTGTGGACCCAAAGAGTCACGTGTTAACATGACCTGGTCGCTGTCCAAAATTAAATAGTTTAACCCAGGTTCGGGGATTGGTATCCTGAGACTTCAGCGAGCTCAGTACCTGGCAAACACATCATTAAAAATCCCTTTTACCTTGTATTAATGATACAGAAATAAAGATACAGAAAATACAGTGAGACGATCCCGGAGGCTCTGGTAGCCTCTGCCTTGCCTCCCCCTGTGCTCGGTTTCCCCTAGAACACCCGCCCCCCAGAGCCTGGGATCCCTCCACCCCAGGGGGGGATACCCTCTGTACAGCCTGGGATCCCACTGCCCAGGAGAATACATCCTCTACAGACCGGGATCTCCTGGACACATCCAGTCCCCATCCAGGATCCCCCCCCGCCTCTTGGGGACACACCCAGAGCCCCCACTCGCCTGGCCCTCCTCCATTCCCAGGACATCTCCCTATTATGGTTTTAACTGCCTGCAAGAAGCCAAGTATGTCTGCACCTTCCCCTCTCCATGTACATCCAGAGCCCAGGGCGCGACATCTTTCTCCCTCCACCCTCTGGTGAAACAGACACCTTCCCCTGAGACCGTGGGGGTGAGGTTCCAATATATTACAATGCACCCGTTAGTGTGAGGATAGAAATGATGTAATATCTATGGTAAATCATTCAAAGGTTAGAAATACCTGCTAATCATCTCTATTGAGTCATGTCAGCTTTCAATTTGTTTTCCAGTTTTACTTGGCTTTGCAGTCAAGTTCACACCTGCTTGGTGACACACTTCCGAGGCAAAATCGTTGAGGACTTTGACAGAGAATTCCGAAGCTTGTACGTAGAATCCAAACCTGTGCCTGGTTTCTGTATCCCTGAGGCTGGAACAAGCTCCACTTCACCTCACAGCTCAGCAGGGAACTTCCAGTCTCTCTTAAAACCCACCCAAACGAATGAAGCTGAAACCGCAAGCCATGCAAGCAGTCTCTCAAATTCAAGCATTGAGAGCATAAAGATGTCTCCTTTTCTGAAGAACTCCACCTACAATGTACTCCTTGAAAAGCAAGACGTGGGTCCTGGTTTCACCTGTGAAAAGAGAAAGGAAGCCATCGGCTCCATAAAGCCAAGCGACTCCAAGCAGTACTTGGAAATGTCAAACTCTAGCCACAGCACTTCAGCTAAATTCAAGTCTGCCTTATATGACAAGCCTAATCCTAAATCACAGCAGGCATCCTTGAAGCCGGTGTCTTTCCCCATACTAAGCTGCAGTGAACCTAGTCATCTAGAAAATAAGGCATTGGCTAAAACTAAAAATGACCAATTGCTCCATCACTCTGCCATCAGACAGGGACCAAACTTACAATCCCCCTCTGAGAACACTGGTACAAATGGGGCAAATACCAAGCAGAAAGCGCCCAGTGATGTTTCAAGTGGAAAAGCAATAGAAAGCAGCAGCAATATATGCAGGAATGAGAGAAAGCTGACTCTTGGACATAGTAAACTGGACCTGATTATCCAATACAACCAGTTAAAAAGGGAGCGGACAGCTGCAGTCCCAAGCTCTGCTCGACTCGGCGATGAAGTGCCAAAGGAAAATAGCTGCACTAAACACAGGGATGAGAAAACACTGACTCTTGGACACAGCAAACTGGATCTGATCACAAGCTATAACAAATCCAAATCTAAGCAAATATCGAGTCGATTTGAGCCCTGACCTGTTCTCTCTTGTCCTAGGGTGCGTCTACACTTACAGCGCTGCAGCAGCGCACTTGCACTGGCCCAGCTGTGCCGCGGTAGCACTTGGTGAAGACGCTCACTACTCGGACGGGAGAACGTCTCTGGCAGCACAGGTACACCTCTGCGAGAGGCGGCACTTGTGTTGACAGGAGAAGCCCCCCCACTGACATAGCGCTGCCTACACTGGGGGTTGGGTCAGTGTAACGACATCGCTCAGCGACTTAGTTACACTGACGTACATTTGTAGTGTAGACCAGGGCCTAGTTCTCCAATCTCATTCCCAGAGTTACCATAATTTTTTTCTGATAGTTTTATCTTGTGTCAGTTTGAAAACAAATACAAAACACAGAGTAACATGATGAAATAATCCAGGCTTCTCCATTCCTTTAGCCCATTTTACTACAAGCTTTATTTTAAAAATAATCATTTGATGTCATCATATATAGTTCTTTGACTGGTTCTTGGTGATTTAACAAAGGTTCTGGTTAAATTAAGAGTGTTTAAAGATTTTCTTTTCCTATATCAATTTTGTTGACCGCTGACCTGATGTTATGACTAAGGCTACGATTTTATCACGGAACTCTCGGAATCCGTGGCTTCCAGAGACCTCTGTGACTTCAGCCCTGCAAGTGGTACGCGGACCCCCCGCAGCTGAGCTCTCCATTTTGTCACGGATATATTTAGTAAAAGTCCTGGACAGGTCACTGCTTCCGTGAATTTTTTACTTTATTGCCCGTGCCGACCTGTCCGTGCCTTTTTTCTAAAAATACCTGTGACAAAATCTTAGCCGTATTTATGACCTATGAGCCTATCTCATGTCTCTTGGGTGATTTTATGCTTGCTAGAGGTAAAATGACATAATAGGAGCATAAGTTTGTATGAATGTGGGTGTATGGCTTGTTAGCCTGGAACATGCATGGGGACAAATAGGTGAACATAAGTATATGGGTTATTAAGCTTGCTAAAATTTAGGGGCCTATCATATTAGGTTAAGGCTTTGTGGAAGTAATTATATTAAAGGCTGAAGTGTAGCTGAAATGAGAGAAATCTAAGAAGATAATCCCAGGTCAAATATTTTTTACTTTTATTCTGAAACACAATCAAGTAACTCCAAACAGGTCCAGTACTCCACAGAACTTCACAGGAAGGGAGTTTGGGGGGCTTTAGCAATTAGGTTGCTATGCAGTATCTAAGCAGTTAGACTGCTTCTACATATAGGCATTATTAATAAATAAGTGATGTAAGACAGAAATATCAATGCTTGAGGCATAATTAAGGACACCCCAAAGGCCATGTATGGTTAGGGACAGCTATTAACCTTATTATAATCAGGATAAAGCATGAAATCGTATATATCTGTACTATCACCATAAGGAAGGGTATAAAATGCCACCTTCAGTTCCCATTTCTAGGGGTGCGTCAGGTCCCCAAGACTGTGTAAACTGAATCAGGATCTCCTTTCTGATGGGCTCCACTTATGTTCCCTTCCATCTTTGTTTCCAATGGTCTCCATACGTTCTAAATATGCCCAATGCAAGCCTGTAAGTAGGAGCAATGCAGGAAACCACTTTACTGTACTTACCTTATTCTAATCTTAGTGTATATTGATCCTTTCCCATAATTTCAATTATAGTTGTCTGTACTAAATAAAGTTTGTGTTTCACCAAATTCCATCTTTTCAATTAACTTTAAGTAGCCGCCTAGGAAAAAAACCTGTTATCTGAGAGAAGTGCACGGTGTTACACTCCAATACATAATCTTGTAAGTGTGATAACTGTTCAGGCAACAACTTGCTGACAACAATGTTGAAAGAGATGGTGCAAACTACATTAAAAAAGTAAAGAAAACTTACCACTGAAAATATCAGTGTCCAGTCATGTGATTGTGCATGCATGTATGTATTTGGGGTTCCTGTAGAAGAATAAATGTGAGAGCATACATGTTGCTGAGCAAGGCATTGCCATTCCTGGGCAAAGACTGTAGTCGACAACTATGTCCCCTGGCACATTGGAACTCTCAACAATAAGCATAAAGCTGGTCTGTGAGAGAGCCAGAACTTTCTTTGGGGATGGTCCAAGACTATGGAATGAGCTCCTGCAGGAACTAAGGACCATCACAAACATCACCACCTTTCACCCCATATGCAAAGTGCATTTCTTTGACTTTGCTTCTCTACTATAAACACACACACACACACACATATATATATAAAAAATACTAAAAGAAAATAACCCCTCCCCCCACCAAAACAAGTCTCCACTGCACCTGCTTCTCCCTCTGGGGAGAGAATGAGAGAACAAACAAGACATGACAGATGTCCTAGATCAGTGGTTTTCAAACTGCGGATCGTGACCCAGTACTGGGTCGTGGAATGGAAGGCACTGGGTCATGGCGGTTCTGGTCAGCACCGCCAAGTGGGCAGTTAAAAGTCCCGTGGGTAGTGCTGCCCGGCTAAGGCAGGCTAGTTCCTACCTGTTCTGACACCACGCTGCGCCCCGGAAATGGCCAGCAGCAGGTTCGGCTCCTAGGCAGGGGGCCCACAGGGCTCCATGCGCTGCCCCCGCCCTGAGCACTGGCTCCACACTCCTATTGCCCAGGAACTGGCCAATGGGAGCTGGGGGCGGGCAGTGCCTGCAGGCAAGAGTCACGCAGAGCTACTTGTGTGCCTCTACCTAGAAGCCAGACCTGCTGCTGGCCGCTTCCTGGGTGCACTGCCTGCCTTAGCACCCCTGCTGCACTGCCCGAGGTAAGCCTGCACCCCAATCCCCTGCCCTGAGCCCCCCCAATTCCAGAGCCCCTTCCTGCACTCCAAACCCCTCATCCCTGGCCCTGCCACACAGCCTGCACCCCCAGCCCAGAGCTCCAACCCCCTCCCATACCCCAACCCCCTTCCCCAGCCCTGAGCCCCCCCAATTCCAGTGCCCCCTCCAGCACCCCAAACCCCTCATCCCCGGCCCCAGCCCAGAGCCCTGACCCTCCTGCACCCCAACCCTCTGCCCCAGCCCTGAGCCCCTCCCACACCCCAAACCCTCATCCCCAGCTCCGTTGGATCGTGGGCATCAACAATTTTCTTCAATGGGGTTGCCAGAAAAAAAGTTTGAAAACCACTGTCCTAGAGTCATAGAATTTAAGGCCAGAAGGGACCACTTGACTTCCTATACCACAGGCCTCCATCGCCATCCAGTACCTGCACACTAAACCTAACAACCAAAATGAGACCAAAGAAAATTAGAAACACAGAAAACTAGACTATGTGCCAAAGGCAGAGGATGGGGGGACCAAGGTGCACCAGTACTCGAGGACCCTGCAATGATACAACTGGAAGGTGTGGAGATACTACAGAGATAAGAATGGCATAAAAACCTATAGAGAATAGAATACCAGAGCAGACAGGTTGTCTCTGTTCTGCTAGCTTGCTTCCTGCCTTTACATGTGTGACAGTCTGTACTGTTATGTTAACCCTTTTTATAAAACTATGATACATTTTGTACAAAGTAAGTCTTGTGAGGTATCATTTGAAAACCCATAATCTGCTGATCATTATTACCCTGGTAAAATGTCTGTACAACATTGTATGGAAAGTTATAAGATGCTACTGTATGACATTGCTGAGACGTGCTCCAAATTTAGAAAAGCAGGCACAGACCCATTCCTCAGAGACAAAAGGCAAACTGATACCTTGGCCAGGTGTCAACAAAATCAAATGGACTATCATCTGGTGAAATGGCCATTCTTTGGCAGGAAGAAGGGTGTGAGCTAGAAATTTACATCTTGGCAATATAACAACTGGGGGTTCCCATGTGAACAGACTGGCTGTTGCCCGTACCCCAGCTGGAGATGATTCTGAAAGAGGAAGAAAAGATATAAAAATGAGGAACAAAGCCCCAAATCACCACACTCCCCTCATCTCTCATGGCATCAAAAGTATTTGAAAGACAAAGGAAGCATCACTGAACTGGGGGAGGGCTCGTGACTGAAGTAATCCAGCCAGACTGCTGCAAGCAAGTGGTAAGAAAAAAGCCTGTATTGTTTTTAATTCTCTTTGCTTGTTAAGTTAGGTATTAGTTTGTGTTTTACCTTTTATTTCTTTATAACCACTTCCGACTTTCATGCCTCATTACTTGTAATCACTTAAAATCTATCTTTCTGTAGTTAATAAACTCCTTTTATTGTTTTATCTAAACCAGTGTGTTTGGATTGAAGTGTTTGGGAACCTCCACTTGAGATAACAAGGTTAGTGTATATTATTTCCTATTAATGAAATGACAGACTTCGTGAGTTTTTATCCAGCAGGGTGCTGGGCAGTACAAGATGCACATTTCTGGGGACAAATCTGGGACTGAGAATTTGCTGGTGTCACTGCAATATAATTCAGGAATGGCTGGCTAGAAGCACTCACATAATTCAGTTGGGAGTGATTTTGCATGCTAGAGGCTGTGTGTGAGCAGGCCAGGCATGGTTGCTCTCACAGAGAAGCAGTGTAAAAGGCACCCCACGTAGGGAAGTGGAGGGAACTGTCCAGATTGTACTCTGGGTAATGTCACAAATGCATCCAGCTCTTAAGAGGGAACCTCTCAGTGTTGCAATGCTATGCAAGAAAGAAGACCTGTTGGTTATGGCACACACACTGTTTCATACTGGTGTATTAGCAGAGGTCCAGCAGCGTGCTGCACACTCCGTTATTCCAAAGCAGGGATGTCCAGCCTGTGGCACAGAGACTGTCACGAAGCAACCCAGCAAGCTCATCTGGACCCAATGAGCCCCCTCCAAATGCTTGTGCTTCCTGATTGGGCAGGGGAAGCCAGTGGTTTGCGACTTGAGCCTTGCAGCAGCATAGAGCTGCTCAATGGGTACCATAGCCATAGCTGCGCTTACCCTGCTTTCACTTAATCCTGCTCCAGCTATTGCTCCAGCCTGCTTCCAGTCCTCACACCAAGCCCTGCTCCTGGCTTGTTCCCATCCCTGCTCCTACTTCAGCCTTCCTGCTCCATTCTGGTTCCTGTTTGCCCTTCAGCTTAGGCTTCTGACTCCCGGCTCTGATCTCTGGCTACACCTCTGGCTAGGACTCCAGCTTACCCTGTGGTTTAGGCTCAGGCTTCTGACTCTGGTTCTGACCTTCAGCTCGGCTCCTCGACCCTGACTCTAGCTGCACCCTTGGACCAGTGCCAGATTCCTGGCTCTACGTTTGTCATTACCCCAACTGCCACCACCACCAGGCAAAGTCCTGCTCCACTCCCTGGAAGGCAGCCCATGCCCCAGCAGCTTACAGGCCACTTACGGCCCTCCAGGCTCTCAGTGGTGACCTTTGCACAGCCAAGACTTCCTCACGCTGTAAGCAAGTGATGGGGATTCATCCTACACACTCCAGGTAACCCCCAAAGGCATCACTCTCAATCCTCCCTTTCGTCCTCCGAGCTCCCGCGGCTTCGCCTGCAGCAAAGCAGCCGGGTCCTTCCCCCGCCCCAGCGCGGGGCGGCGCCGCGCCGCAGCCTCCCGAGTCCCGCCCCCGGCCGCGCTGCGCGGCCTCAGGGCCATAGAGACGCGGGACGGTGCCGCTATACCCGCGCGCTTCCGGCGGCCTGTCCCGGAAGTAGCGGCTGGCGAGGCGGGGGCTGTCGGTGACGGGGCGAGGGGAGGTCACGCGTGTGTCGCGCTCTTGCCATGGCGGTTCGCGCCAGCTTCGAGAACAACCACGAGATCGGCTGTTTCGCCAAGCTCACCAACTGCTACTGCCTGGTGGCCATCGGCGGC